TTTATATGAGTAATAAAATTAATATGGGGCAAACTTGCCCACTTGATTTTTTATATTTTATTACATGATTATTTGACTCGTCACAATTTAATAGGATATATGTCGAACGTCACCTGACCAAACCCGGAAAACAGGTTTCATCGCTTCCGCTTGTCGGAGAACGTTTAACAACTGCATTAAATAATAGCGATATCTATGGACTTTTAAGATAATCAGTTAAACTAGCTAGTTATTTTTATTGTTGACGCTTTATTAAATTTTTATATCTAAATGTTAGTGAAAAGAATAAAAATAAACTTTTAGATATCCGTCCGCGTATGTGATGGACATTGGTTATGATCATCTTTGGTATCTATTTTGAAGGCATCTTGAGGAGAACTGCTTCATATTTAATGAAGTAAACGCTGTTAACCCGGTTAACAGAATACGGAAATATGTTGCGCATAACACCTATTACAATTTTTCATTGTATAAAATTACGTAGATCAGTCAGTTCCCAAATATTGTTTGCATAAGCCTAGACATTCACTGAACAAGTATTTCACACCAAGTGTTTTATGCGAAGTGTGGAAGCTAAAATATTAGCGCTTATGACATGGAGGCACCCGTGCGGTCTCTGGCATTTTTTTTCCTGCGGAAAGAGCTTAAAATACTCCGTTATTTTTGGTCATACAGATAAGACTAATAGGCTTCATCATTTGCTTTTATTTGTGTGCACAGTACACTGACAATAATACCAAAACGTTATGCTTTTGTAAAATAGAGAAAATAAACAGGATGCGCTTTCTGCCGTCACGGTCTCCGTGAACTGACGCGTCACAAGTATCAGCTACTTGCCTCACAGACATAAGAAATAAATATATAGGAAGCTTGAAATGTCAACTATTTAACGAACCAATTCAAATAATCCATTATAACACGGTGGTGGCGAATCATCGTCGGCAACTTCATCTTTGCAGCCGACACTGATATGACTCAAAAAGCAGTTTACTAATAAATCATTAAAACTTCTTCTTTTTCCCCCGACACATTCATAATCTTTTGCCGGTGCTTTGCAGGATGCTTTATGCGCAAGCTTAAGCATGGAATAGGCTGAATTATGCCTAGGCCTATATATTAAAGTATGGTTTAGTAGGCCATTATATTAATGTTATATAAACGTGCGAATAGTTGACTAGAAAAATTGTTAGACGAGGTCTTATTAATTGGCACAAGGTACCACTCCATAACGCTCCCATTAGGGAATCATATCTGTGCTGATATACAGCCATATCTCACGGCTACGAGTGTGATGTTGCATTTATACAACAGTTCGACGGCACAAGTGTGTAAATACATAAGAAACAATAAAGGAGTGTCTTTAAAAATCCTCTTTTGTGCAGAACTACTTCCTTCTGCCACAGATTCAGATCTCAGTTTGTCAGTGTAACATCTGAGCTCAAGATCCGTTACTAATTCGAGAGCGTCACTTTAGAACTTTAGTAACGAAAGAACGTTGAGTCACTTCATTGAAAGCTTATTATATCACTGTATTGAAAGCTCACTGTATTATGTGGAGTATGATGAGAGAGAGATGGACTGAGAGTGTGATTACCTGCATCTGATACCGCATTCATTCTTCAGCTCAATCTCATATTCACAATAAAACATCAGTCTGAATGTCCGCTGAGGAAAGCGATATCTTTGTCGTACTATCTTTCATCTGTTGAGGGTGATTTCTGATGACAGCGCTGCTCACTGTATTTGTTAACTGCGTCTTACAAGCTGTTGTTGAAAGTGAAAAGAACTTCCTTGTTTAGAACCCTGTTTCAGTCTCTTTCAATATAAAAGTCTTTACTGCGGACTCAAAATTGTCTCTGTCTTGCCGCCATCTAATGGAAGAATAATGTCACTAAAATCACCATCATGAACACACACACACCGTTTCCAAATACTAAATACTACTATTATGTATATATAATAGTATGTATTGAATAATTATATTTAATAAACAACAACAACAGCCATCATAAAAGTTGCTGCACTCTGATATACAGCATTACGTTATAGAGCTATGAGATTTTGCCCTCACCCAAATCTATTTGCTCTGGAACCAATAATAGATTAATGAGAGCAAAGACTGCCCGTTAGATTTACCCAAAACAAATGATATCTCATGTTTAACCACTCTAGAGACATCAGAGCCAGCGGTGATTTCCAGAAGATCTGGCCGAGGTGAGGCTGCTATTGGTGGGTTCATGAGCGATGAACGGCCGCTGACGCCCTGAAGCTCACATCTCCCAAAACATTGAAGCTAATGTTCAAATAGACGTTATCTTTATTAACAACCCGCATATTTGAAGTCTAAACAAGTACATTCTCGCCTAAAAAAACTTTTAAAACTACATTCTGTGACAAAAAAACAGTATTATTTATAACATTATAGTGGATTTGGGCATCCGCCATGACACTCGCTGTGAGAAATACTGCAAGCGGAGTGATACAAACGGTGAAGCGGTTGGAGGAGTTCTGTTATCACTCTGTTATCAGTCAGATAGATAGAAATGAATATATTATGTATGTATACACACATCAGTACAAACCTTTTTTTTTAGTATTTTATTGTGATTTTCATTTTTTAATTAATCATATATGTGATTACTTTGTCATATAGCACAACAGACTGTATACTTATTTAGTGATTAAATCACAGCCTTTGATTGGATAATCATGATTTGATATGCTCCATTTGTTTAATGGTTACATTTCAATTAATTATTACATTTTCAACAACTCAACCTTATTTTGGAAATCCTGTTTTAATATCTATAATAATATTTCCATGAGCTATAGCAATATTTAATGATCTGAGCCCATATTCTTCACTGAAAGAGAAATATGATTTAACACAGTGTGTCACGCTTGTGTGAGGATGCAGAGACTGATGAGAGATGGTGTGAAGCGTCTCTCAGGATTTCTGGAGATGCGCGGTGCTCGTGCTTAATGCGTCTGACTGCAAACACATCACAGCTCACAGATGCTGCCTTCATGAGGACCAACTGATGTCATGAATATGAATGACTGTCTTAAGAGCAGATTATGTGAAGAGGGACCCTCTGAACACGCGTCAGTCGTCTGCGTGCGTTCAGGACGGTCTGCGTGAGCCGCTGGTGTCGGTGTGAATACAGTAGGTCAGCGCTGACCAGAATAACAATCCTCTCCTCAAACGGGGCAGGCAGAGGGCAGACACGGGTAACAGGACTAATGCACACGTTACTATTCCTCCAGACGTCTAATCTGGAGACGCACGGCTCGAACATGAGAGCGAGAGCTGCATCACGACGGGCTCGTTTCCTAAAGGACGTCTGAGGGAATTTATTAACAAAGAGGATCTGTGATGTATTTTTCTGCTAAATAAGTTGCATGTGACAATAAGTCACAGTGGGTTAAAATCACGTTGTTAAGAGAAAAAAAAAAAAAAAAAACGGTTAAGCCACATCTGCGAATAAGTCACTTTATGCTATTACATTCAGAAATAATGTCGGTAAATAAAACAAAAGGTTTTATAAACATGTATTTAATGCATTTTATTTATAGCATGTTTTGTGTGCTTTTTATTTGCTTAGTGTAAGTTTCAGCATGTTTCAAACGATAAAAACGTGACATATTCTGGAAAATACAGTATAATAATGACAGGAAGGGAGGATTACTGTGGTCCGTTTGTGTCTTTTCTGTTTTGGGTTGGATGGGACGCCAGCAGCACCAGACATCAGCTCTAAATCAATCATTAAAGTGCAGCTAACCACGTAACAACAAACATAGCTTTAGTTACATGCGTCAAAACCATTGCTGAATGACTGTAAAAAAATAAATAAATACACGGCAGCCACAGACATTCCTATCCGGATTAGATTTCCCAGAGGAGAAAAACTGGAGATTTGATTTCTGATTTTTACAAGTTCTCTGAGAGATGTCTGTGAAACAAATGAATCTCCAGGGAAAACTAGTCCAGTCAAAAAAGAGCTGAACACGGAGAACACTTCTTCTGCTTTATACACACGGACCAACACAAAAGACACAACTGAGGGAAACACACAGTCACCAGTGTGAGATTAGTTAAATAACAAATACCTTAGAGCTTAAAACCAATGAAAGCAGGTTTAACAGTGTGACGGATGAACAGACACAACTCTACACAGCATCCACAGAAGAACTGGACTATCTGTGTGCACATGAGATCACAACTTCACACACATGATAGAGACACCTGCAATCACCAACATTATGGAGCCCTAACTAGTCCTCATGAAGAGCAGTCATCAAACAGCATCTGAAAGGAATGGTTCACTCAGAATGTCATCATGCACTCTGCCTCATGTCGTTCAGACCTGTGAGACTTTCAGAAACAAAGACGTTTTCAAAAACATTGGGAGCCAAACAACTTTGGACCCCATTGACTTTCACTGTATTGACAAAAACACTGCAACACTTCTTAAACTATCTTTTGTTTTGCGGAGGAAAGTCACACAGGTTTGACATGAGGCGAGTAAATAATGAGAGAATGATGATTTTAGTTAAACAGACAAAAAGCAGTACTGAGAGCTGGTCAAGTCAAAAAACAGACACATTACATCAGAAAAACCATTAAAACAAACATTGATTCAATCAGTGCTGAGGGTCATACTGGCATAGAGCAGATCTGAGGCTACCTGAACGTAATTAACAGCGTGAGTGATTGCCAAACAATGAGAATGACCACAGAATGAGACTCTGTGCATTCTGAACACAAACACACCCTTCATCTGTGAGTGACATTAGACAGCAGCATTTCAACCCCAGCATCGAGAGCAGAAGAGCGTTACCTGTGTCCGGGAGGTCAGAGGTCAGAGGTCATCTTCAGGACACACCGCGTGGAAATACAGCAACACAGTACGATGGGGAGGAGGGACAGTGTTTGGAGGGAGAGAGACGGACAGATCTGATTCTCTAAATAAAAGAATGGAAAACGGAATGAACCATACCTTGGCTGTTTAACGTCAGGGGCGCCAGCCCTTGAAGGAAAGAACAGAAACAAAAGAAAGAAATGAAAAAAGAAGAAGGTCATAAAAAGGCACGGGAAGAAAGCAAGTATTGTCACAAGGTTGGACTGCAGTTTGTGACAGACATCCCGGGGCACGCTCGGATGTCAAAGATCAACTCAAAGCAAGAAGGGGAAAGAAAGAAGAGAGAGAAAATAAAGGCTGAAAAAACAAACGAACGAGTGAACACTTCTTGAGTGAGGTGGGGATTGGGAAAAAAAGCATTTCATTCAGTGCAACCCCCGAAGGCCATTGCTCAAATGCTTTTATTCCCCTCAGGTCTTATGGAAACACACACACACACACACTACTGTTTGGCAGAGTTGAAGAGCGTCTCATCTACAGCTCTCCACGACACAACACACACTTCTGTCACAACAGAAACACCTCGCGCGACATCTGTTATCCGTACAGCAGACAAACTCTGGTCTAACAGCTGGACTGCTCAGGACATGAGGAAAGATCTCACCGTACTTCCCCAGCTGATCTATGACGTGAACAACTGCAAACATGTTTTGTATTTCTGAAATCTTATGTTCAAATATGCAAGTGAACTGGATGAAGCCCGGTTCAAAATTCTTCTGATTTTGTTTTGATTTTAGTTTTTCCATTCTGGATTTCTCTTTTCATCACTCCATAAATCAGAAAATACTGTCAACAGACAGAAAGCAGACACATTTTCACCATGTTTTTAGGAGTAAAATGTTGTATAAATCAGTGTGAATGAAATATGAACAAACCTTCAGAATGTAGAGAGGAATAAAACTGTAAGTTTGGTGTAAGTGCTGCTGAAGAGGAGATACAAACGTTTAAAAATATGGATTGAAACTGACATCTACAGATGCAAATAGATCAAGTGTAATAAAACAAACACTTAAATGTTTATCTTGGATTTTTTCTTTACTCTAGTCTGAAAAAAAAAAAAACACACACACATTGTGAACTGTCCAAAATCTCAAATTGACCAGTGCATGTTTTTGCCTGCAGTGTCTTGCCTTGAGCAGAATTTAAATTATTTTCAAAATGAAAGGCTGTAAAAATCTGTTCGCTCACACATCATGATCAAACCACAATAACCATCTCAAACTCAGGGTTATGACTGGACCGATGCAAACATGGCAGTACATGACTTACATCAGGGTTTGTTCAAGTGCCGACTAACCCAGAAATACAACAGAAATGTGACTCTGCAGCACAAAAGCAGTGTTAAGTCGCTGGGGTATATTTGTAGCAATAGCCAACAATACATTGTATGGGTCAAAATTACACACATTACACACACACACACACAAAACACACACTCACACTCACGCTCACGCACACGCACTCACACACACAAAACACACACTCAGACTCACACTCAGGCACTCACACACACAAAACACACACTCATCGTAAAAACTGTAATACACACACTCACACACATTAATACTCACACACACACATACACACACACAGACACAGACACACACTCACACACATTAATACACACACTCACACACATTAATACACACACACACTAATACGCTCACGCACACGCACTCACACACACAAAACACACACTCAGACTCACACTCAGGCACTCACACACACAAAACACACACTCACACTCACGCACACACACTCACACACACAAAACACACACTCACACTCACACTCACGCACACGCACTCACACACACATACACACATTCACACTCACGCACTCACACACACAAAACACACACTCACGCTCACGCACACGCACTCACATACACACTCACACACACAAAACACACACTCACGCTCACGCACACGCACTCACATACACACTCACACACACAAAACACACACTCACGCTCACGCACACGCACTCACATACACACTCACACACACAAAACACACACTCACGCTCACGCACACGCACTCACATACACACTCACACACACAAAACACACACTCACGCTCACGCACACGCACTCACATACACACTCACACACACAAAACACACACTCACGCTCACGCACACGCACTCACATACACACTCACACACACAAAACACACACTCACGCTCACGCACACGCACTCACATACACACTCACACACACAAAACACACACTCACGCTCACGCACACGCACTCACATACACACTCACACACACAAAACACACACTCACGCTCACGCACACGCACTCACATACACACTCACACACACAAAACACACACTCACGCTCACGCACACGCACTCACATACACACTCACACACACAAAACACACACTCACGCTCACGCACACGCACTCACATACACACTCACACACACAAAACACACACTCACGCTCACGCACACGCACTCACATACACACTCACACACACAAAACACACACTCACGCTCACGCACACGCACTCACATACACACTCACACACACAAAACACACACTCACGCTCACGCACACGCACTCACATACACACTCACACACACAAAACACACACTCACGCTCACGCACACGCACTCACATACACACTCACACACACAAAACACACACTCACGCTCACGCACACGCACTCACATACACACTCACACACACAAAACACACACTCACGCTCACGCACACGCACTCACATACACACTCACACACACAAAACACACACTCACGCTCACGCACACGCACTCACATACACACTCACACACACAAAACACACACTCACGCTCACGCACACGCACTCACATACACACTCACACACACAAAACACACACTCACGCTCACGCACACGCACTCACATACACACTCACACACACAAAACACACACTCACGCTCACGCACACGCACACACACACACAAAACACACACTCACACGCACTCACGCTCACGCACACGCACTCACATACACACTCACACACACAAAACACACACTCACAAGCACACACACTCACACACACACACGCACTCGCACACACACACACACACACACACACACTCACACACACTCACACACACACACACACACACACACACTCCTCTGAAACATTCTGTGTTCGACATGCTCACTGCGTTTATATTCAACTAAACAACACCAATATTTCAAGAGGCAACATACATGTCAGAAGTAACACTACTGTTGCCCACAAAACCCTCGACTCAAGCCGACCGTCGAAAAGCACCATACAGCCAGAATTAGCTGCAAGAACACAGCATGTGCTAAAATGCAGCGATTTCATCCCGTAAGTCAAGGACTGCTGGAGAAGCACTTTTCTCTTTTAGCAAACGGTGCTAATGGACGACACGAGCTGAAGAACCCAGTCTAAAACACACTTCCAACCGTTACCTGCAGCGTTTAGCTCAGAGACGCTAACTGAACTTAGCACAGGTGTGTAATTCTGATCTAAAGACTATCCATCCATCCATCCATCCATCCTCTATCTATCTATCCATTCATCCATCCATCCATCCATCCATCCACATAATGCAAGGCTTTTTAAGCATCTTTCAAAACTTTCAATTCAGAATTTATTAACATTCTGAGTCTTACAAGACAAACCGCTTTCTTTTGTAGGGAAAATCATCATATGAATTTCAAATCATGTTGATTCTGCTTTAGTCACATTGAAATTGTAATTTTGCATCCTGTTTGATTTGTTGAAGTTTGAACTGAATTCTGAATTACGCACAGCTCTGATGTAAACAGTTAGTTCAACCCAAAACTCATTATTCACTGATATGCACATGCACTTGTTGAAGGGACTCATTATATATGACGAACGTCTGGTTTCATTATGCAGCACAATCGAGTAGAGTCACGCAGGTCTGGAAGCACACACAGACGAGCACATGATGAAACGATATCTGTTTCTGGATAAGCTCTTTCTTTAATGCACAGCTTAGCACAACAAGATTACATCATATCTCATGTTTCGAAACCACACTAATTAGTTGTGAACTTAATGAGCAACATCAGAGACATAATGAGTCTGCAGTGCATGCAGGAGAGCACATCGCTCTGAAAAACAAGAAGCGAGGAGAGCAGTGATCTCAAACGCTTTCATCTCTGAGATGATGAACTGTGGACTGGGTTTGAGAGCGTGTTTGACGTCCTCACAGATAATGAGATGCAGCTTCCTCTTCACACAACATCACGCCGCGCTGACCTTCTCTGTCTTGACCTCTCTTTCCTGATTTGAATTATTTTGCATATACCTGTAATTGCTGCTTTCCTCTCCACACTCTGCTGCTTGTTCCCAGAGAAGGTTCTTTCTGTCAGCAGTTCTGCTGGGATTCAGGTCTGTTCAGGGGAAAACCACCCTAAACACAACTAACCATATAATCATGTGTAGTTAGGATAACAGAAACCGATGAAGTACGGGTTAAATAAAACATGTTTTTGTTAAGTGGTAGAGGATTGTGGTGTTGTTTTGCAATGTAAACCTGAAGGAAAGCCAAACGCTGCTTTACTGCATGAGTTCCAGGTTTGTTGAGTGGATGCTGGTCTATAATCTAAAGTGCATTACAAGACTTTGCTTGGGTGTAAAAACCTACTGAAAGAATCAGAAGATAATGTCTGTCAGCATTCAGAAGAAACTCTGACGGCATATGCAGAATATGTTACCCAGAATTCCCTTTTGCCCCCAAAAGGAAGCAACAGAGAGAGAATAATAACGCGGCGATGACAGAATATGGAAATGCTGCTGTCAAACCACTGAGAAAGAGAGCAGTAAAGTAACGCAACTCAGACGAGCACAGTCGGAAAGTAGAGCAGCAAAAACAATTACCGTAAGTATGAATTATGAATTAGACTCACAAGGAGGACGTGTCGATTATACTCTAAAATCACCATCAGTCCTCCTACAGCTGATGACTCAGAGCGCAGAACAGGTGGGAGTGAGGACAAGAGCTCCGGTTACACGCACAGATACAAGCAAATCAAAAATTACATAAATACATACATACATACAGGAAACAAAGATCAAATCAAATCAAATCAAAATAATTAAAATAAAAC